GAAGGAAGGCGATAAAGGCATGTCACCTGATGTCGAACGGTTCTCAGGAACAACTGCTTCAAAATCAGAACAGCTGTCGATCAAAATAAAAAAGGATCATAGAATCCTTCAATTAACCAGAAAGTGAATGAAAATGGCATCATTGATTGAATGAAATGCTATAGACTCATCGTCCAAATATGTTTGATTAGGCCAGAACAAAAATGAATGGAACTGTCCTATCGCATTATCATTCGCTGTTCCTCCATTAAATTTTGCTCTTTATTAACGATTATCAACCGATTATGGCGACTCTGCTGATAAAAATGAGCCCGATTGAAAAAGTTGGTGGACGTACTGTAACAGGACAGGTGATTTTATGAACATTCTTGGTCCCCCTTGGGGAAAAACAAACAACTTTCCTTAGCTCAAGAACTTTTTTCTACTCACTGTAATTCTTATCCAGATTGCCTCAGAGCTGTGGGACGATTCGAGAGAGTAATGCATACAGTACAGCAAAGAAGTGGACATAATTCCAAAGATGGAAGTTATTTTTATAAATCCTAACAAAGTCAATAAACTGACACACGGAATGAAGCTGAAGTGCGGTCTGCCGACATGCCCGTTCAGGTCTTATTCATCAGTGTTTGGCAACATTCAAAGGCACCACCAGATAGTGCACCATGAATAGAAATAAAGTAAAAGGCTTGAATAGCTAGTCAAAGGTGAAAAAAAAAGTATAAGAACCTGGAGAAATAGGGCCTTCCCCGTGACAGCACATCTTCGCCTTCGTGCATTTTGGGATATGACCACGGAAGGGGCGCTTTAACGAAGACTTGAGCATCGTGTACCCATCACCGAAAACTCTCTTGCAACTACTTGAACTTTCGACAAAAGGTAGAGATACGGTAGATTATCTATTCGCAACCGCAGATGAGCGATCTTTCGCCAGACCATACACCCGTATCTGGGCGTTTCCGCTTTCCTTCCATGGTAATGGATCCCCACCATTTTTTTGGTAAAACGGAATTTCACTGAAGTGGCAACCCAGAATCTCCGAAGCTCGAAAATCTACTCAAGTATTGTTTAAGTTTGATCGAATTAGTATCACTCATGAGTTTCTGAGTGAACTGCGCTACAGTCCTCCTACGTCCGCTAATGTCCAATATATTAATTTTACTGGCAGATGGGCTATGATAGATGTGGATGCAGAATTGCGGATTACTGAGAGAAAACATGCCTTCAGATAGCCCGACAATCTTTCAGGGAAAGAATCGAATTAGGCTCTTATCTTAAGAGGTTGTAGCTTCACATCATCTCTAAACTGCCAGAATTTTGACTTCAGACCGAAATTTATTCTGGATAACATTCAACCCAGAAAAGGCTGGCTGATTTGCTTCTCCTCGTACTCGAACCCAGAAGTAAGCATTTATCAAATCTGAGTAAGATGCAGCTAGAACCGCGATTAATCCACCGATTATATCCCAAGGAATTTCCTCTCGGTGAAAGAAAGTAATGATTCTGAAAATTCACTGATCTCCTTTCTCCATGACGTTTTCAGCTTAAGACTTTGAGCTGATTGAACCATCATGAAGCTCAGAAAATCCGGAAAATGGGGAAGTCTAATTTCCCACAGAAGAAAAGCCCATAAATTCAGCCCGTTTATCGAATTATGTGGCGAAAAATCTGACGTCATCCACCGAACAAATGGCAAAGCCATTCACATTATCTCACCGATAACATCCTTTTCACATGGGGAGTACCCCATAAGATTGTCATGGGCAACCCCATATAACCCCACGATCCCATTCGTTCTGTTTTTTTTCGCCCGCTACTTGGAATGAGACTATCTTCTTCAGCCTTTTTCTCGGAACCCGCTGACGCTATTAATTTTCTTATGGCTAACATTTTCATTTGGGATTAGTTGCTGCTGTTATGAGGTCATCTTCGTTCATGGGCTACCGTATCCTGCAAACTGTTAGTCGATTATTTCCAAAGTCACCAATTACTTTGGAAAAACTCAACTGTACACATTGAAGCGGTTTGATTCTTCTCAGCATAAAATCGAGTAAAGAGCAATTGTGAGGAGAGAAGGGAAAAGACCAGAATTTTGATCACAATGATTCCTTCCGCCCATTGACAATCCTTAGATCGTATTGACAATTCCTCTTAGAAAACCGGGCGCAATTTTCCGCACTGAATAGAAATAAACACTTTTTGTAGACGGAAACTGCTTTTATTATATTATCGTATTCACGTGAGCGCCCTGAGTCTGCTCCATGTTCAGCTTCTCTGACCTATTTATTTCCGTTCTCGTCAAATCGTCTTGACTAAACAGGCGCCAATCGATAAAACTTCACAGAAAACAGGCCATTTTGAGATTCTCCCTTGATCGAGGGTATGTGTTTTCCAAATTTGAGGTTCGCTTAAGTACAGGTTCATGTTTGCCCTTAAGAAGTAAGAGTGTAAGCGATAAGGCCTTCAACATAATTCCAACATATTAGGTAGAGTGTAGCCGATCAGTAACTCAGATCTTCGGTTCCGGTTAATGTTACTATATTTCTTTACTCAAGTAATGTGGTCATGCGACTGTTTCTGATGAAGGCGTCAACATCCGGTACAACCTGGGATCGCACAGGGCGGATCTTTGAAGCCTGCTTAAAGATTCTAATTTGAAGATTCAGATTCTAATTTGAAGATTCAATAAAAGACCAAATTACCTTGAATTTACAATTAGCGAAGCCTTTCATCAAAATTCAATTAACTAGTCTTATTTATGTCTATGAGAATCACGAACCGACCTAACTGTGTTGGCTAGACAACAAAAGTCATTCCATGGGTCAAATACACTTTCAATCGATACTATGAACCTAAGTTTAGGTTGAGAGCATGGCGCATCCCGAAGAGGTAGACCCAAGTCGTTCATTCCCCAGTTGTTATCCTCTTAAATATCTCTGATACTGTATATACAGGGAATGATCCGCTCTGGTAATTATAGCCCATCAGGAGCGATTTGTTACTTAAATAAAGATTAACTGGACTTGAGTCAACTATGTAACCCCAGGGGACGGCGCATTTTCTCGTCCTACTCCCAAACATGCACCAAACGCTGGGCGGTTGAGTCAGCAACTAATCAAATCGGCCGAAGGGCCCCAAAAAGCAGGGAAACCCGATGTTGGCAGTTTTTTTCGGTTGATTGGAAGGCTTTGATCTACCATGACATCATTTTATTCCTTTCATATTTTACGGAATATTTCTTGGTAATAGTAAGCGCACGCGATCGTTACGTATTCAGTGATGATAAAAACTCCATCAGAACCAGTTTGGACGTTTGCTTTGTAAGGAAGAACAAAAAACGATGTGAATACAATCAGTCAGAATAACAAACTGGTTATTTAGACTTGAGGAAAACAGTTTTAAAGTGAAAAAAAGGAAATTCTAATATCGTAAAGGACTGCAGCAATGAACCAAGAGCTCCACTTTATTGGAGGATCTAACGGGAAGTGCTGTTCAAACAATTCGCCGAACAGTTTGCCTAAGCTTTTGGGAAGTTTTTCAAACCTAGAAAGAAACTTTACTGGGTAGATAGGTACTGTCAGTAAATAGATGACGTAAGCAAAGGATCTGAAGAAAATTGGCTGTTGACGTGTGATAAGAAACACTTCACGGCTAAATTGAATCGGGATTTTGGCAATTCGCCAAGGAAGCAGTGTAGTGGGAGACTGAGACTGAGATATGCATTGTGCTCTTCGGACCCGATAAATTTGATTTTCAGCGAAAAAAAAGGAATGTCAACAAAGCGCTCATAACTTTCTCCATGAAAATTAATCATTTTTCAGTTTCACGATTAATAAATGACCATCAAGTTAGTAGAATAAATCAACAACGATGAAACTAATTATATTGCGATTTATTTTGTTTATTTCGCAAACAAACAAACAACACCCTACAATAAACAACATAACAGTATGAGCGGTTACAAACACTTACAAACTCTGGGCAGAAAAGAACCACGCTGCGTGACACGTGCGCGTCTTTAGGGGCATACATGTTAGACACTGGCGCGCATTGCACATTTCAGGTAATACCGTATCCAACCTTTTATTATCGCCATAGACGCCTGACAAAGATACTAAATCTATTAACCTTAGACAAGAACCGTATCCAATTTCCTACAGTAGCACTTGAGAAATATTATTGAAGTACTGTACTACAAAAGAAGTGTACAGTTTTGTGAACAATTTGCGACTAGTACGCATTATTTCACGACTAATTGTGATACCAATTACAGTACGACCTTGTAGATTCAATGGGTTTTTTCGTTTTTATTAACTTTAGCATGATCCGTTATTTTGGACCGTGTTGCACTTGTCATTTTTTCGGACGTCTGACTGGTTCTCAATGCAAATACACTAAAAAACCTGACTGATCTTGGTTGATTTCGATATACATCAGTTTGCTCGTCTCGTTGTCATTGCAAGGTTTTCGATTTTTCTATCCAGAAATCAAAATCGTTTATTAAACTATAATACGGAAGTAAAAAGGGGAAAGGGGGGGGGGNGGGAGTGGGAGGGGAAGTTGAAACAGGAACGATCGCTCATTGAATCGTATTAAAGCTTTTTCGGTATCTCCTCGAATTCATCGCTTCCTTGTCTATGCATCTGTAGAGTTCTTATTTTTACTATCGATTTTCTTGTTTGTTTGTTCATTTCTTTATTTACTGAAGACATGCGGTATCACATGTTGTCCACATAAGTTGCTTTGTTTGCTTTTTGGATGAGTCGATGAACCTATTGGTCAGGTTTGGTGGAATACAAGAACAGACTCCTACAGAAACCTCAAATCAGAACTGCAACCTCAAATCTCCTTTAAAACCACGTTACTACACTTTGCGTATGTCTATTTTTCCTTGAAGCCCCCTATCAATTGAAATCAGTCCCGATTAGGGAGATGGAGGAAGGGAAAACAAGGGTGCAAACGAAAGACGTCATCACGCACCAAACTAAAAATTGGAAAACCCATCAAAAATAATGAAATTTCTCAGAAATCCATGAAATCCGTACTGATGACCACTGTCTTACTTTACACTTCATTTTCTGAGAAGATACCATAAAACACGAACGTCACGAGTGCATACGTTCTGCAGGTTCTACACTAAGAAATGGAGAGCAAAAACAAGCTGCAAACATTTGCTTTGCATGAATCCTGCAATTTTCCCAACCATTACGTATCCATTTCTTTCGCGGATTCCCCGACACAGTGTGAACACTGCTCCGTTCACCCGTCGCTTTGCATGTTCCCACGAGAGCATGTCCTTCACGTGTAGACAGATACTAACCCGGGAAACATTCAAATAAAATATACTTCAAAGTAAAGTTGTCAACAAACAAACCTGTTACATCCGTTTGGGACACTTCCCGCGCCCCTGCGCGAATAAATTAATAACGAGCAGGATTTTTGGGGATATAAATCGCATTAAACTGGTACTTAGTTCACATGTAACAAATCAATAACGACGAACAACGACCCTACCGTAACAAAACCGGACACTTTGCCTTTACCACGAAAATATGGCCTGACTGATAAGCCAGGGGAATACTATGACACTCCAGAGGAACTGATAGGTACATCGAGCTAGCTATGCAGCTTCTTAACCATCTCAACTGGAAAGAGCGTAGGGAAATCATCCGAAATGAAAAAAGGAATAATGAAATTCTTAAATAACAACCTTCGAGAATCATTTTCTTCGAAGCGTCCCATTCTTTCGATTGACCGAATAAGCTAATTCCTGTTGGAAAGGGAGATGGCATCCGTTTGAGGCCAATTTTATTAGGCTATTCGCGCGGCGAGCATCGGAGAGCATCGATCTCGAACGGGCCCTCTCATAGACTAATCACTGCGGACATACGCACACATACACATACACACTTACGGAAAGCTGTAACACAAATAAAAGAACTAAACGTTTATGAAACTGATGATGAAAATGATGCACCGACAAGGAAAATGAATAGGAAGGAAGACAGGAAGAAAAGATGATTGTAACTATTATATATGACGCGCAATATCACGATAGCCAGTACTAAATGAGATAAACGCGGAACATCACAGGTGTATACATTTTCACACATGCTGATAGAGAACGGTAGATGAACCAACTGACAGAATGAGAATATGGTGTTGATAAAACTAGCAATGCGCCGGGATGTACTATTAAGATAAAAATGGTGATGATTTCGATCAATAACGGAGGAATTCTGATCTCTGGCCGAGGGATGACGAGGGATAACCCAAACAACACACGCCAAGAACACGACGATACGGACCGTTTGAAATAATGGAAATGGTAAAAATGTATAGATGGAAGCGAAATTCAAGACTAGCTTGTATTAACATGCATTTAATGTCTGTATGATATTAGAGGGAATCTCATATACCACAACAAATTAAAAAGAAAGTCGAAAAGCGGTCCTTGAAACAAAAAACGTGCTTCAAGTGTCGAAAACTTTGAACAGGAGACAATGATGTCGTTATGAACAGCTTAACAGCAAGTGCTGGATCCGCCAAGTCCACCTGTCGCATTGCCACCGGGCGAATTCGGCGAGCTTGGCGAATGTTGAGGTCCCAATTTGATTCCATTCGCCTAGAGATTTTTAAACAATTACATCGTCTCTAGATCTTGGATGGGAGACGTGGGAAACCTCTTCAATGATGGGGATCAAATGCGATCGTGTTAATCTATGTTCACAGACGGTCACCAGTTTCACAAAGGTAGGCTATCTGGTCAGTCAAGAGGTGTACATTTTGAAATTAGTTCCCCCAGGAGGGCATCTATAGGCATCTATAACATTAGGCGTGCAAAGATGGAAATTTTAGTGAATTCCAAAAAAGATAGAAAATATTAGGGTCTTATTTTGCGCATGGCGAAATGGTAGCTAAACTAGATATGTTGACTTAAAGAGTGACCCTCTTTATTTCCCCTTATCTACAACATGCTCAGGTTGAACGAAAATGAGATTTTATATAAAATTATTAAGGAGGATTCCATCACTCAGGTACTTTTCCGTCTATAATTCATCAACACTTTCAGCAACATCAAAAATAAGCAAAATGAATTCCACATCACATGGTTAATGAGTTCCCTTCAAAGAGTAAAAAACATCAAGTAAATCATGATCAACATAAAGAAAGTAACGAAAATGAAATAATCAAAACTCTTCTCACATACCTCGTTATTGATATCGAAAACTCCTTCTTGAATTTTTCTATAAATCTCTTTCGCTGTATCAATGAAAGCCTGGAAAGCAATCCATCAGATTACAAATTTGTTTACAAAAAGCGTCGGCAAGTGATTACCTCTTCAACATTGGCTGCTGTCTTCGCACTAGTCTCCATAAACACGAGACCGTGTTCTCTGGCAAATGCCTCGCCTTCTTCCCGTTTAACTTCTCGTCGTGCTTCCAGGTCACTAGAAAGAGACAGATGAGGGACAGACTGAGGATGAGCAAGGGAGTAGTACCTCTTATTTCCAATCAGCATAATCACCATGTTGCTGTTACTGTGCTGTCGGGCATCCTCAAGCCATGATGTTAAGTGATTGAATGTGTCCCGACTGTAATTTGGAACAATCAGCTCGGACTAAGTCAAGAGAAGCGCATGGTTGCAACCAAGACCGTCTCCCCAATACGGCATACCACCCTTCTCTCTTCATTGCAAATCACTTCCTTTAGTTAACTTCTCTAATACTAGTATATACCACCCGAAACAAAAAAGAGTATGCGCTTGCACCAAACGCTTTATACTAGAAATATTCATAAACCATAATTAGTCACAATCACAATCTCGTTTTTCTGAAAGGGCAAAACAATAAATCCTGGGGCCCTTTGGGTGAAGTATTGGCTCACAGGTCTCTTGAATGCGAACCCATTACCAAAAACAAGAGACCCTCCAAAAATTTTAGCTATATGAGGAACTTATGATTTGATTAATAATAATTATTGGTTTCCTTCCATCATAACCTTTCCTATGTAATTAAATGGAAATAGAGGACGAAGAAAAGTGATGAATGGCCTGAGGGGATCACAACTCCCACCATGCTGCACAAAAACAAGCCATGTAGCTTGCATTCACGAAGGATTATTGAGCCTTTCGCAGCCACGAATAAACAAATACAAGTCTCGCAAGTTACTGACCGGGTGATATCGTAGACAAGCAATGCACCGGCAGCACCTCTGTAATACGATCGAGTAATGGATCTGAATGATTCCTGACCTGAAATTAAAACTCGGCCTCGCAGAGATCGAAAGGAAAATGAGAATCAGACTTAACATTACAATCACATACCCGCAGTATCCCAAATCTGCAATTTGATTTGTTTTCCATCAATGGTTACCATACGAGCACCAAACTCGACTCCTGAATTGATTCGTGAATAAAATTATGTATTATGATCACACTTGATAAAGCTATCACTAGTGAAGACCAATTCCAAAAAGGCTTAGAAGGTAAAATTCCGAGTCATTTATCAACAGCCGTGTTGCACTGGTAGAGACATGTTGAGGAGTCACCCAAAGACCGTCCTTGTTAATGATTATCTTCCCACTAATAGTTTAATCTGATCGCACCCAAGAAAGTAACCCCTTCCAGGAATTTTCTTTACTGTAGTACGACTCATAAATTCGTCTTACACAAAGCCCAGTAGCTGGATGCTAGATCATCGAACAGGAAAACTCCTTCGATGAAGAAGCCGCTCTAGTGAAGAATGGACGTTCGCACGTCTGTTTCCTAAGAAAACTGGCTAGCCACTCCCACTTAAGACATTAAGGAGGGCAAAAAGCAAAGAAAAGAATAAGCATGGAAACACTGAGAATTAAAAAATCTCCAGCCCATTCAAAATCGTAGCCAAAAATATAGTTCAATTCTTTATGAACAGCGCTATAAAAGGATTACTGTAAATCTTCGAGAATCTCATAAAAACCAAAAAGACCGAAGGGTTTCATCGAAAATCAGATAAAACACAGAGTAGCAACCAATGATCTGTTATTGCCACTGCAGTCATCAACGCCCACATTCACCCAATTATTTACACCCAAACAGGGTTGCACTTAAGCTCAGCAGTGACAGCCTTCGAGTTCCGAGACAGTTATTCCTACTTGTAAAAAAGAAACAAATGACAAAATTCCGTCTAAAACAAACCCTGACTTTCGAAAGCATGCCAAAGTAGGCGATATGAGCGTAGCAACAACAAAAGTGCGTTCGAACTTATTTGGATTTCTAGACAGCAGCCATGATGAGAAAACTGATGAAAAAAGAAATGGCCATTAGGCTAATGAGCACGAAATCTCAAGAGAAACGATTTTGATGGGACTACCCAATGGCTNACATTCTTGGCACATCGTGGAGGTTGAGGTTTCGAGAAAAGCTCTTGCGTTACGTGTTTCTTCGTTCTACCATAAAAAACTGGTTACTAATGCGGGACCACAGGGAGAATTTATAATGCAGAGAAAGAACACGTGATTTTGTGGGTGCCGAAAAGAAGGCCGCTGAATTGTAAGCAATAGCCTTGGAAACGAAAAAGCGAAGCGCTTCCAGTGACTCAACAGTTTCAGAATAATGCTAAATATCATAACTAGACAAAAACTAGTTGGAGCGTTGTGGCTAACAAAATCCGTAAGGGGCTATAGTCATAGCTGATCGAATAATGAAATTCTCAAAATTGTAATTGTAATTTCTCAGCTAGTACTTAACATAAGGATTTGCCTTCATACGAGCTATTCTTCATATACTTGAATCAAACAATTTAAAAAAGGTCTGCTTGAGCTCTTAAACTCTTCAGGAAAAACAAAAAAATCGCACTAGCAATAATTCACAAGAAATGGGGTACGAGCGTTTCACCTTCACCCAATGAAGCCGAAGCGGTTGCTTCAGAAATCGGAGCCAGGGCCTATCAACGAGGCGCCAACGCCTAATATGGAAAATGAGTGTTATCGTACTTGCAGCATTTTTCTCACTTTATTATATGCGGAGTTAATTAAATTTTGGAAATAGCCGAACGTGTAATGTTCCAATAGCAAAGACAATGGCTGTCCCTTCCATGGAAACTCAGAAGGCAGCCATCTGGGCTACTGACCTACTGGGGTCCAGGGCAGACAGTGCGAAACGTGCAGTCTACTGGCAGCCACCTTTAAAACGCTCGTTACGCGTCATTTACCAGTAGGAACAGTTCTTAAGAAATTCTTACTCGAAAGTAAGCTTGCTGGAAACCTTACATGCTTCACAAGCAACTTTCCAACAAACAAAATGGTTTTTCTGAAGATGGATGAACATACCAATCGTGAGGTCATGAACGGGTTGGAAGCGTTTGTCGGTAAACTGAAGCAGAAGGCAAGATTTGCCGACACCAGTGTCTCCAATAATTATGTATTTGAAGAGATACGCATAAGACATTCTCTGAAAGAATCTTGTTCGTATATGCGGCAACGAAAACTCATGTTAAACTACTAATCGATACGAAGTTCACAGTAACCGAAATGACAAAAACTGAGAGCGGCTTAGTGAGACTAGTACAGTAATGAACGATTCCACGGTCCAAATTCTTGCCATGAAAAGGGAAGATCGAGCGAAAGATGGGTGGAGCAGAATGTTTGGCTTTCTCAGAACGAGGAACGATGTAAGCATGAGCCGACATCGATCCGCAAGAGCTATTATTTATTAAACTTATAAAGGAAATGCACTATAAAGGTAGAGGCACGCGACTGCGTGCGCCATATCTATGTACTATAAACAAATCTCGATTTACGATCCTGGCTAAAACGATTTAATTATTAGTTGAAGTTGACTTAATTCTTGTTAAGGTAATTTTGCGATATCAGTTTTATTGATTAATTTACTCATTACCCTCAGTGTCATTGGTTGAGAAGAACCTCATCGTTCTACTGCTAGCCACTGGAGAAGAGTCTGACCTCGAAAGATGTCAAAAACGAGTTTTTCATTAAAAATCTCGAAGGTTTGGAGGCAAAGGGCAGAGGTTGNTGACATCGATCCGCAAGAGCTATTATTTATTAATCTTATAAAGGAAATGCACTATAAAGGTAGAGGCACGCGACTGCGTGCGCCATATCTATGTACTATAAACAAATCTCGATTTACGATCCTGGCTAAAACGATTTAATTATTAGTTGAAGATGACTTATTTCTTGTTAAGATAATTTCGTGATATCAATTTTATCGATTAGTTTACTCATTGCCCTCATTTAACGAAGTTGAAGAGACCCAACCTCAGCGTTCTCATGTGAACCACTAGAGAAGAATTTGGCTTTAGAAGATGTCAAAACCCCGCTTTTCCAATGGAATTGTGAAGAGTTCGGAGGGGCAAAGGACAGAGGTTGTCCGGAGACATGGCTTGTGTGGAAGTCATTAATTTCGTCGTGCATGCTCACTCACAGCTCGGAACCACTGCTTTCCCTAACAACCGTGGTCTGGTGGTCTGGTCTCTTCAAAACTACATCTTTAGAGATATTCCTGTTCCTTTGCGGCTTTCTATCCTGTGAAACTGAAAATCATGCCATCAAAACAAAGGAAACCCGATATGGAGGGTTTCAACAACGTCAAGGGCAGCATAACAACGTGAAATACAACATTTATATGGTGCAACTTTCGCTTTAAAATCTCTTCAAGTGATTTTCGAGCAATACAATGAAATAATGCTCTAACATGCATATCCTCCAAGGAAGTTACTTCTCTGAAACAATCGAAATGTAATCAAATAAAATTTGTTATACTTTTTATTTGCCCTTTCTGGAAAAGTACCCCTTAAAAGACCATATCATGCGGAAAATTAGAGAAAAAAGCTTATATATATCTGAGTATACTACAACTATTTGACAATACCATTCGAATGAACAGCTGTTTCGCCAGTTTTTTTTTCACTGTCATCAAAGTAAAGGGTTAATAAGTGTTCCAAGAGAACCCCATAAGAAGAGGTCCCGGCAAGAACCAAATCACAAAGGAACGAGCGGCATTCGGCGGAATAATGACTTGTGGTCGTTGAGCTAAGTAGATATGCCACGCGTCTGCAAGTGTCTTCACAAATATCGAGAATCAATGTCGATGAAAAGAAAAAGTCACAAGGGGAACACTTCAGAGTTGGGTTATAAGTAAGTGCGAGTGCGATGCGAGTTGAGTACTAGGAATAACCATTACGCGGATATATCGATGAAAGTCGTCCCTATCACATACTCTTGTGGGAGTGGGCGAAACGAATAACAGCCCAAGTAAACTGAATGGATAGCATGAGTCAACCACCATTCCTGAGTAAATAGGTATTCTAGTTGAATAGAGAGAACCATAAAGCTAGCCATCCGAAATGGATCTATGGATGGGCTGACGGAATGTGGAGAAAAGGCGAGCGGAGGTTGTTAGCCGACGACTTCAGCCTCCTGGGGACAGACGACGTCATGCGCGGCCGACGTCTATCGACCGCTCTCATCGCGAGCGCTGTCACATTGCGCCTATCGACCGCTCATTCAATTAAAGGACATCAACTGTGGCCGTGGAGCGCGCTTGCTGATCGTCGTACAACTACCTAGACAAAATCGCATAGGGAGTTCCAACTCACTTCAGAATGTTGCAAGTTCTCAATCCTGGGTCTTGTTTGGATACGTGTGGGGCCCAAGGGGGGCACAGAAAACCTGTCCCCAAAGCATACTCGCGATTGTAGGGGCTCATTCCTGACCCTATGTTGCTTCAGTAGGGTGCAAAATTAGAGATCACAGGTCTAGCAAGTGCACAACAAATAATATTTTCGGGTTTAAGATAGACTCCTGAGGATAGGACATAACAGTTGACCCATCTGACAATAAAATCCCAATTTTCTAATAA